TCTGTTTCATCAGCGTTATCAATCGGTGCTGACCAGAAAAACTCATCACAGCCATCAGCATTATCTTCTGCTACTAATGCTGTCAGTTCGGCTGTCTGTTGCTGAGTAACTCCATGAACTTTATAAACTTGATTTGGAGTCGTTTGGACCTTTTGATATACAACAGCCTTTTCCTTGAGGACTTTGGTCTTTTCTTTGGATAAACGAGCGAACTCAACGGAATTTTCAGAAATAAGATTTTTGTTGGTTTCGGGTTCGCTCTTGACAAATTCGGAACAGTCACCCTCATCTTCCACAGATATTACACTCATATCATCATCCTCATTGAATTCAGAAGTGTTTTCAATATCAATTTTATTTTCTGAACTCAACTTGGCATTCAAAGAGTCAAATTTCTGTACAGTTTCGGTTTTGATTTTTAATTTGTCATTTTCATCCAACAAATTTTTTAGCATGTCCTTATGGTCTTTTGACTTTATGAAGGACTCTATTTTGTCAAGACCAATTTTGTAAGCGGGAGAAATATCATCAGAAGAAACAACGTTTTCACAGTTATATGCATCGACATCGATTTCATCCTCCTTTAACTCAAGGAAGGGTAAAATCATACGATGTATCTTCTTCCCTATTTCACAATCAAGATGCAATTGAGTAATGTTGGAATATAATCGTTTAGCAATTAAACAAAAAACATTTCGTTGTTTTAAAAGCTTTAAATTATCTCTTTGCAAATAAATTGTTTCATCCCTACACCTAATCAACCCCTTCTCCTTCTGCTCAATCCACATACGCCTCTCCTCACTCTTCGATGATACCCTGCTGATTTGATCAGTTAGGTTAGAGTTTGTGACGCGAGTTTGAGTTAAACTACCACTTATACTAGAAAATTTAGATTTTAATCCATTTAGTTCTTTTTCATAGTTTGTGATGGGAATTTGTAAGGAAACAAGAATAGATTGTACCTTCTTGATCAACTCATCGCATTCGTTGATCTGCTCATTGACAGGTTTCGCTGCAAAACACCTGTCTTCTCGCTCCTTCGCTTCATCCAGTCCCCCATCAAAGGTATAGCCTCTCATATGTGACACACCAGAAGTCACCATTAGACACTTTCCTGCAACGTCCTCTTCTTTCACCAAAAAGGCCCTTCCATGAGTAGGCTTCCTCACTTCTTCATCTTCTGAATCAGTGGACCAAACTTCAACACCTCCGAACTCATCGTCAACAATATTTCCCTGTACAATAAGAGCATTCATAGTGTTATTAGATCCAACTTTCTTCTTCTTGATTTCTTCCAATCGTCGTGTGAGGTTCGCTTCCTCGTACTCATCTTCATTCTTTTCTGACATCTTTCTCAGCATAAAAATCTTTGGCGAAGTGATTTTTGCCTCCACAGTAGTGACAATTAATGCCTGAGTCACCTCCAAGTTTTACTTCCTTCTTTGGTTCTTCGATCTGAGAAACACTCTTCGGTTCCTCCTTTGCTTTCTTGGCACTGTAGCTACCTTGCCAGTTTTAGTTCTTATTTGTTGGGAACCTTCTTTTGATGAACTTCTTGGGATTTGATACCATCAAAGCATACTCTTCACTTGTTAGATCATATTCAGAAAGATCCAAATCTTCTTCTTCTTCAGCAGAATTCTTTCCTTTGGAGATTAGGGCCAAGGAACCCAAGCTGGAAATCATATTCGTTTCTTTAGTCACGGCACTCTCATGTGACTTTAATATTCCCACCAGTTTTGCTAGAGAATAAGTCTTGAATTGTTCATGTGCCTTCATAGTAGACACCACAGCCATCCATTCGGGTCTTAGGCCATTCATGTATGTCACCTTCTGTTCAATGACTTTCCTTTCAATCCCATGCTTTATCATCTTACTAAGGAGATGATTGAAGCGATCAAAGGCTTGAATAAGCTTCTCTTCGGGCTTCTGCTTGAAATCACCAAATTCTGAGAGCAACAATGTTTGGATTGAATGCTCAAGATCTTCATCCGTAGAATACAATTCCTTCAATCTGTCCCATATTTCTTTTTTCCCGTTGTGCATGAGCTTACTAACCGAAACGTGTCCGATTGTAAAGAAAACCTAATCATTCTTAAAGCTTTGACGTTGCACTAAAACTTTTCCTTCTCATCTTGGGGAATGCCTTTCACATCATTAACGAGCTGATTGTACTCCTTTTGAGTTTTAACAATTCTTGAAATGTTTGAGTGAGCGAATGGACCTACAGTAATCGCCTCCTAGATCAAGTATCCATTGTCTTATGAGCCAATCACGTAGTCTTCAAAGTGATGCGTCTAGACCTCATAATCCTGAGTGTACAATATAGGGATCCTTGTCGTCGATCCTATACTGTTGGAGATATTGATTGGGTTTGACTGAGAATCATCCATGGACATGACGATGTTTTTTAAAAAACCTGCTTAAGATCAGACTTGTAAATAACGTTAGGGTAAGATCGAATATTTAAAGAACTACGTTAATAGCTAATGACGGCTCTAGTAATATCAATCAAAGCGGAAAACCCTAAGACCGTCTTCAACAGAAGAGATGTGTATAAATTACACAGTCTCCTGCTCTGATACCAATTGATGAGTTGAAAAACTCTTAGATCGATTAGATCTTCAACAGGCTAAACAATAAAAGCAAACAAACACAGTAAACACGATATAGAATCAAGTAATGCTTAATGATTCAAATGTAGTCACGCCTCAGCAGAGCTAGGGTTTGTAGTACAATGATGAGAACAATAATTAAAGCGCTACCAATAAAGGATGCATGCATGCACCTTAAATACTAAACCCTAATAAAATAAACATGGTTGGACAGGCCCAAACCGGATAACAAAACTGGGCTAAGGACCGAGCCCAAGGACGCAACACCACTAGACCCAACACTTTTAGTATATGGATAATATATTAAAGAAGTAATAATACATCATACCAGGTTTGCATTCACAGGGGTACAAATACAACGTACCAGGGTTAGCAATCACGGGGTGATAATACATCATACCGGGTTTGCATTAACATGGGTACAAATACAACGTACCAGGGTTAGCAATCACGGGGTAATAATACATCGTAATCTCGTTGAAACAATAAATTTGTGAGACACTTCATGGTGTACTTATCTAAGTACGACCTTAAGTCCTGACTTATTAACCAGAATCTCCTGGAGGTAGAGCGTGAATTTGTGTATAGATCTATACGGGACTGACAATCCCGCACCTTAGCTGTTCGCTACAGTTTGGCCGGCAGGCCTGGGGTGACAAATGTCATATCGTTTCCGACGCCTGAAGAACGTCGCATCAGACACATCAGTCATATTAGTATGGTTAATAGAACTCACATGGATAAAACAACGATTAAATTACTTAGTAATATACTTCTTTTAAAACAGTAAGAAAAGATAATTACATCCTATCTATTTTACTGACCAAATATACCTTCGGTTAGTTTTACTTATGGTAAAAACTACGTATCATGAAATCAAGTATGACAAATATACTTGTACTTTTGGTTTTGGAACGTTTAAAAACCATAAATCAGTATTATGGAAAATATAATATTTTCCAGGATTAATATCAATGTTTTACTGTAGAACGTATATAACTAAGAATACTTTTACAAATGGAACGGTTTATGGGATTAAACTACTTTTACAAATGGAACGGTTTTATGGGGATTTAAAACTACTATTCAGAAACGGTTTTATGGGGATTTAAAACTACTATTCAGAAACGGTTTTATGGGGATTTAAAAGTACTTATCAGATGAAACTTTGGCATTCACTCTCTTTACACTAGTATAACATAAACGACCTTTGGTGGCTAATTCTATAATTCCTTAGTTTATACATCAGAGTTATATATAACTAATATCCTATTGACAGTGAAATGTGTGACTTCCGCTTTACTTCCTGTTCCTTGTTTGGTTGTGGGCTTAGGGCAGATACACCCATTTAACTGTCCATTCGATATTAGGTTATATATAACTAGTATAAACTAAGTAATTGCAGAGGGAACTATTGAGGTTATCATTTTATCACATCAGGAAATATAGGATTTTCTGGAGGAACCAGCGAACTTTTCCAAGAACTTAGAGTATACTTTATATAACTAAAATACTTATGAACTCACCACCTTAAATGCTGATCTACTCTTTTAAAATAACTTGTATTCTCAGGAATCCAGTAGACAGGTACACTCCTTAAGCTTTTGAGAAGACTACCTAGTACCGTACTACGACTCTTGTCTTCTACTGTATCTACTTTGATGTTCGAATATGTAATGTTTAAACACTTATGTAAAACTTATACTTATTAATGCAATGGTTGTTTGTACTTTTATTACTATATTGCATGTGTTGTGATACTTACATGAAGTCCTCCGCCCCCAAACATTTCCGCCGTTCTGGTTTGGGGGTGTGACAGAATAAAATAAGAATATTTTATTATTCAAATCTAGGGCTTTCCTTGTCTCATCCACACTATAAATAGGACCCCAAGGGTTATGATTTTTATATATATCATTCCATTAAGGATACTCTAGCTCAAAATATCCTCTCTCCTCTCTCCTCTTATCTTCTAGTTCTAGGGTTTAGGTGTGAACCGTTACATGCATCATCTTTTTGGTGCTAAGCTTTCCAAGAACTACACTATAAGGGGATTGAAGTGATTTGTTTAATACGAAAAATCAAAGGTATGTAATCCTAATCCCATGATTTCGATTATATTAGGGCTTATGCTAGTTTTGTTGTTCATAGTATGTTGCCTTCAAACTGTTATGACATAGACCCTTTATAGGATGCTTGTAGCCTCTTAATTTTTAAGTGTTTTTCACATTGTACACGATTTTGTATTCTATAAAACCCATCAGCTTTCTCATACTCTTACTTGCCAAACTCACTCAGCTTGCAAATGTTACGATCAGCGATTCTACTTTGAAACAAAGGGGAGAGGGAGCTAAAAATATTAATACTAAAGAAAGAGCTCAACCGATGAAGGTTGAAGAACCTATCAACACTAAAATTCCGATTATAAAAGTCTATATGGAGTGGTCTGATACTAAAAATATTATTCTTGAAAAGCGAACCTTGGAAGATAAGTTAAAGGATTATAAAGAAAAGTCTAGTACTAAACAGAAGGTTAATGTAGCTTCTGGTTCACGAAAAGGGAAGATAAATGTGATTATGGAAGAAGATATCAATCCTGTTCTTACTGAAGAAGAGAAGAATTATCAAGCTGCAAGGGATAAAGATCTTGATCATTCGAAGTCTCTCAAAGTAACTCTTGATCTATAAGATGATGAAAAGAAAAATGTAGCTAAAGTAGAAGCAAATGGAAGAGCTTTATTTACGAAATGGATAGTTAGTCGCATAGAGAAAGAGGCGATTATGAAAGTAGAACCTTTTTGGCTGGAACCAATCACATTTATTTTAGTGAAAAATGAACCTGAATGTCAAATGGACTTCCCAATGACTACTAAAGCCTTTATATTTCGGAGTCTAGATAAAGTTTTTGATGTTACGTTGAATAATCAAGGTGAGAATAAGAAATTATTCAATTTCAATGCAAAGCAATCAAGGCCTCAATATGAAATATGGTGTTTGAAAATGATTGCTGGTATGAAATTTGGAAAACCTTTTGACGCAGAAGGATTTGTAAACGTATCCTTTAAAGGTTATAGAGGTACGAAACATGAAGCTTCTGATTTCACTCTGGCTGATCTTTCGATGATAAATCCTTATGACTGGATTATTCTTCTCAACATCCTTTCTCGAGATCCTGTGAAGTATGAAACTATTTTCCAAATATTGCGAAGAATGATCAAAGTTTACATTCAATAGATTTCAAATATGGATATAGAGATTTCAAAAGTGTTGAACTGAAATTCGATTCTAAGACCATTCCCACAACCAAATGACTTAGAGAGTATGAAAGTTGGATTTATTCAGAAAGAACCATTGGGAGTGGTTTACAAAACCTCTGAAAATGGGGAAATGTGAAATTGTATGATGTTTTTGCGAGACAATATTTGTATCCAACAACTTCTCTTACAAGTGTTCTTTCACGTGCTAAAGCTTGTAAATTTAACAATGCAAATAATGTGAAGTGTGTCTCAAATATGATACGATGCTGGATAATGGTCTGTATGATTTTATTGAAGACATTTCTAAAGGTGTTCGATGATAAGAAACGAAGTCAACTTTTTCTACTTGACATAAAGGGGAGGGGGAATAGTTGAGTTTCGGAATTTTAAGTTGTGTCAACTCTTGTAAGTGACTGGGTTCATAGGTTGGTTTGTCTTGTTGTAAAGTCTTCATTTCGTATGAGAGATAATATGTTTGTATTTCATGTATTTGGTTTGTATTTAGGTTCGCACTTCTAATCTGGTGACTTAGACATTCCTTTTCGACATCCCTCCACTCCTATATATAGGGACGTTAGTTAAAAGAGAGATTAACTTTTTCCTGAATAGTTACCTACTTTTGCACCGAACTTTTGTTTTGCTCATTAATGAAATCATGAACTTATTTACCTTTTCATGTTCTTAATCATTCAAACAAGCATGTCGTTATCCGATTAGAATCTATTCGTTCCTATAATTCTATCAACCACATATATCATAAATGTCAGGATAGGCAATAAAAGGATAAGATAAAGCATGTATTTTATAGTAATGGCTACTTACCAATTAAATACTCATTCCCAACATCATTTGAAATAATGTCTCCAATAAAATAAAATATGAGTTTGAGCTTCAGATCATGCATAATCTACAAAACAAAAAATAAAAAGCATGAAACTATAACATAAATAAAATCGAAGACATAATCTAAACAGATCACAAAACATGTCGCATAATACGATAGACATGAAATATTTTAGAATAAAACATAACAATAAAACTAAGTGCAACAATATAACTTTCTGCAGGAAAATACCATAGAAAGGATCTATTACCAATAAGAAAATACTTTAAATCAAATAAAACTTATCCCCGACAACGACGCCAAAAAAACGATGTGTAAAATCCAATCTTAACTTTGTAGTTCGATTTCACCAACGTTAAACACTATTACACAACTAAGCAAGTGTACCCAATTGTATAGTAGTATATCTATGAGAAGACCGGGTTGTCAAATATTTAGGGAATGAGTAAGATTTAATTTGGAATATTTAAATACCGGATAAACTAGAAACAATAAAAGTAAAGGGGAATTTTGTGTAAAACCAAATTAAATGAAACTAGAATGAAATGTAACTAGAGACTAGATTACGAACAAGATATTTAAGTACTCTAACTTAGATTCGATTCCCCCCTCAATTCTGGTTGATTTCTTAGAAGTGAAATGAAATTAATTAGTTGCTTACTGAGTCCTATATTAATTAGTTATCTTGGTTCGATTAACTAACTTTAATGAGTATAAGGACCATTAACATAATGGTCATATAATTAACTATCCAAATAGATAGTATTCCATACGTATTTTCAAGAATTGATGTAGCAACTAGTCTAAACGGTCATGATAATTAATTAAGAAAAAGTGGTCATCTAATGCAATCTTACATATTAAAGTTCATTTATTTATCACATAACCTTAGCATTTGGTCCATTATTAGTCATAATAGTCTAATGGTCATAAAGAAGTTATAAACTTTAGCACAAAAGGATTGACTAACATGCAAACATAATAAATTCAACCACTAATAATCCCAAATCCAATAGGAGACCATAATCAAAGGGGTTCCTCTAAACCTAAGTGAAAGTATATGGGATTTGCCCAAAATCTCAAAAAAAAAAAAACATAAAGAATTGAAAATGGAATTGATAAAGATTGTAAATAAAGCAAATCGAATGATTCCTAAGTAATTCCACTCTATGATCTTAAAAGTAATCCTCTAATACTAATCTCTAGCTTACAGACGGTTTTTGGTCTTCAAAAATCATTTTATGATTGTTGCATACCTTTTAGGGTTTAGGCCAATTCCTTATATAGATTTACTAAACATATAACATGCACCATCATGTAGCTCAAGAATTTGTGCTTGAATTGAAAACATTATGCCTCAACACAGCCCACATATCTTTGAAATGTGCCATGTTCTTCAACTTTGATCCTTATTAGCTCGGTTGGTTCGAGATTAAGGAACACTTTTAGCTTCTTTTTATTCCATAAGTGTCTTTTAGCTTGAAAACTTAACATTTCAAGCATAATCAGTACATATATCTTAATTTGTATAAAGCCATTGCATAAGTCTACTCGATATTGTGTAAAATAAGCGATATAAAACATGCATACAATGGCCAACTTATAGAAAATTGAAATTTCAAACATAAATTCTTTTAACCAACACCATCGCATTTTACATATAGATCACTTACCTTTCCAATGTTGAATCCTACAAAACTTAATGAATACCATCACATGAAAATTAATCCGCGTGTGCAACCCACACAATATAACCAATATGGTCAATATAAGATGACAAACAACCATTAATATTAGCATGCATCTTAAGATTTATCCTAACAAAATTACATATAATAGTCAAGCTAATTATATCTTACCTAAGATCCTATAATTTAAACAACACCCTCTTAGTTGACCGACCATCCTTCATACTCAACATCAAATCATTATACCTTGTAACTGGATCAATCACATTTACATAAAAATACACCACATATATCATAAATTTCAGGACAAACAACAAAAGGATAAGAGAAAGCATGTATTTGATACGAAAAGAACTAAAAACACACAGGAAATCATTTATAATGGCCTTAACAAATGTGTTTGTGTTAAAAATTTAATTAAAAATTATGTATTGCCCTTCTTCAAAATGACAAGGTTATTACTGACAAAGAAATTCAAAAAATCATACAAAAATGAGAAAAATTAGTTATGACATGTTGATACCTTCTTGAAGTAGCAGATATACCGTTTCCCGAAAACAATCATACAAACAAATAGAGGATAAAACTATACCAAAGAAAACAAAAGCGAGAAAAATTAGCTATGATATGTTGATACATTCTCGTCTATTAAAACTTATCGATAGTGCTTAATTCAGATGACTTCAAGTAAACATGTTGCATCCATGAACGAACAACCCGTCCCTTGAGTTTATATGTGTCGACATCAATACTGACGTCACTAATCGAATGATATTCTGAACCCACTAAAACACTATCAAAATTCTAATAATTGTATCTACAAGAATCCCTATATCTACAACTAATTAACAACATTCTCATTTATATAGACACTAAGAAGTATGTTACATACCAAAATTACATAGAGCTAGCTCAACCACCAAGCCAATTACAATTAAGTTTGAAGGCACAATGAATTGAATAAGATATTAACATCCAACAACAGGTACCATAATATTGCAAGATTCCATTAAATGGCCAAAATACAACGTGTAACTACAACCTACCGAAGAGCCACCCCTAATCGAACACCACATTGGAAAAAAAAGGCATATTATAGGTTTTTATTCCTAAATAGAGATCGATGAGGCACGCCAAGTGGCTTAGAAACATAAACCTTACGATGAATCAACCAATGTACTCTTAATATATATATATATAGATATATATATATATATATATATATATATATATATATATATATATATATATATATATATGATATTCACTATTAATAAATATCCAATACATAAAACCAATCGAATCCTATATTCAATCAGATCATTTCGATAATGTCAAACACAACAAGTTAGACTTGATGAGTTATATATATGAAATATCCAATACATGAAACTTATAAAAGAAAATTTTCTATAAAGAAATGTTTCTCACATTGGTTTAAACCCCACGACCATCATTGAATCCTATGGAACATGGACACCACTTATAGAGCATTTGTCCGACCTCTATCCATTGCTCTACAACTATTTTTTTTTAATAAATTTAACAATATTGAATTCATGGTTTGTTAGGAGTTTTCAATATTCCTAACTAATACTTGTATTTTTTTCCCTTATCATTCTTTTTAAAATGATGATTCAATACTAGTATATAGATTGTATTCTATGTATGTGTTTACGCTATGAGATTTTAGATTGATTCAATACTAGTATATAGATTGTATTTCATGTCCTTAAGTGTTAAGTCAAAACACAACAATGACTTTATCATTGTGTCATTCTTAATGAACTACATATTATAATGATCCATGGTGGTTTTCGAGGCTATCAAATAAATTATCATATGTTCTAACATAATTAAAAGTGAATAGTGGCAAAGAGATCAAATCAACAAAGAATG